AGATAAGGAACCATCTCAGCTTAACTTCAACTTGTAAATTGCTACAAATTTCAACAAGTGAAGATAAGGAACCATCTCGGCTTAACTTCAACTTGTAAATTGCTAAAAATTTCAACAAGTGAATTAAGTGTTTTTGTCTTCTCTCTGCGCCCAATGTGAACCTGAGTTCTACTTGGGTTCTCATTATTCATGTCTTCCAAAAACATCAATATGTAACTTTATCAATCATATGTGTTTAAAGAAAAGGGAAAAGATTTTATTGATGACCTTGGCCAAAAATGATGTACATCTAATGATAGAAGAATTTCAAATTACAAGTGTTCCAAGGTCTTGACAGTGCTTTGCCCTCGTTATCTTCAAGCCGATAAGCTTCATTGCCTAATACCGAAGTAATTTTGAAGGGTCCTTCCCAGTTTGGGCCAAGTTTGCCCTCTCTGGGATCCTTCTTGTTGCCGACGACTTTTCTCAGGACTAGGTCGCCGACTTGAAAATCTCTTGGATTGACCTTCTTGTTGTAAGCTCTGGCAAGCTGTTGTTGGTATATTGTGAGCTGAATTGCAACTTTCTCCCTTCTTTCTTCTAAGAGATCCAAATCTCGGGCTAGAAATATATCATTTGTGCCATTCTCTACTCCGTCGGTTCTGATCCCTGGGATGCCGATCTCCAGAGAGATGACTGCTTCTGTGTCATAAGCCATAGCAAAGGGGGTTTCCCCTGTTGATCTCCTCGGCGTAGTCTGATATGCTCAAAGCACGTTGGGCAATTCGTCTACCCACTTTCCCTTTGCTGCCCGTAGCCTCTTTTTTTTCCCATCCAAAATTACTTTGTTGGATGCTTCTGCTTACCCATTGCTTTGGGAAAAACTTGGTGTTGAAAAGTAGTTCTTTATCTTGAATTTCGCGCAGAAGTTCTTGATGAGTTTGCTGTCAAACTGCGTTCTATTGTCGACAACTATTGCTCTTGGAATGCCAAATCTGGTGATGATGTTTTTCCATATAAAGTTCTTGATGTCCACATCTCAGATTTTGGCAAGAGGTTCTGCCTTTATCCACTTCGTAAAGTAATCTGTTGCCACCAGCAAGTATATTCTCTGCCCAGTTGCTTGGGGAAGTTGCCCAACAAGATCCATGCCCCATTGGGCAAACGGCCAGGGGCTAGATATTGGGTTTAGGTCAGCAGCTGGCTGATGTATCAAAGGTGTAAACTTTTGGCATTGTTCACACTTCTTCACGTAGGCTTCAACATCCTTTTGCATGTAGGGCCACCAATACCCCTGGGTAATGGCCCTGTGGGCTAATGATCTTCCCCCAGCATGGTTTCCACAAATTCCTTCACGAATTTCATATAGGAAATCTTCAACCTGCAAAGGGTGTACGCACCTTAAAAGGGGTCCAGTGAAGGACCTTCTGTAGAGGTGTCCATCTGCTGTCAGACAGAATCTTACCGATTTCAATATGACTTTGTGTGCCTCCTTACGATCTTCTGGCAGCTTTCCTTCTTTTAGGAATGCAAAAATTGCATCCATCCAGCTTGGCCCCATGTCCACACACATTGCTTCCTGTTCTATGCTCCGTGGTTCTACGCTCGGGCCCAACATATAGTCGATCATAATTGTCCTTGTTTTTCCAGTCTGCATTGAACTTGCCAGGTTAGCCAACGCGTCGGCGTGGGTGTTGTCATCTTGGCTAACTTGGAGTAGTCGGTAGTTTTGAAATAGGGCTGCCAATCTGATGACCTCTTTTGCATATGCCGACATCCTTTCGTCTCTGGCTGCAAATTCTCCTGTTGACTGGTTAACAATAAGTTGTGAATCACAAAAAACTATTACCTCATCTGCTTCTGATGCTGCTGCCAGTTTTAGTCCTGCAATTAATGCTTCGTATTCCGCTTCATTGTTTGAGGCCTTGAACCCCAAACGGATGGACTGTTCTATTATTTCTCCATCTGGAGATATCAGCAGTACTCCTGCCCCCGCTCCTTGTCGGTTTGAACTTTCATCGACAAACAGTCTGAATGAGTCGCCGATGTAGATGCTGCAGGGTCTGAGTTTTTCCTTCCTTTGCTCTTTTGCCTTAGGCTGGGATTCTCCTTGCTTGCTGGGACAATGCTTATCCTGGCTCAACGGAGCCCGATGTTTGATGGTTTCAGGCGTGAATTCTGCCACGAAGTGGGCCAAAACTTGGCCCTTTATTGCTGTTCTGGGCCTGAACTCCAGGTCATACTGGCCCAAGGCAACTGCCCATCTTGCGATTCTTCTTGTCAAGTCTCTTTGTTGCAACAGGGACTTCAGTGGGTGCTCTGTGAGTACCACAATCTTGTGCGCTTGAAAGTAATGGTTCAATTTTTTTGAGGCCATTACTAAGGCCAGTATTAATTTCTCTAGTGGTAGATACCTTGTTTCTGCATCGGCCACGGTTTTACTTACATAATAAATAGCCTTTTGTTCTCCTTGTTCTTCTCGGATTAGCACTGCACTTACTGCGTGTTCTGACACAGCTAAATACAAAAACAGTTCTTCCCCAAGTTCAGGTGTCGAGAGGACCGGAGCCGTGGTCAGATATTTCTTTAGGTCGACCAAAGCGGCCTCACATTCCTCAGTCCATAAGAAGTCCGTAGTCTTTTTTACCAGGTTGAAGAAGGGTTTACATTTGTCTGGGCTTCGGCTTATGAACCTGCTTAGGGCTGCGGCTCTTCCAGTAAGCATTTGTACCTGTTTTGCCGATGTTGGGCTCTGTAGGTCTAGGATGGCCTTGATCTGATCTGGGCTGGCCTCTATGCCCTTCCTTGTTACCAGGTACCCCAGAAATTTACCAGATCCAACTCCAAACGAGCACTTTGATGCGTTGAGTCGGAGCCGATATGTTTTGAGGATGTCGAATACCTCTTTTAGGTCGGCAAGATGACTCTTAGGCTCCTTGGTCTTCACAACCATGTCATCGATGTAGACTTCTACTGTTTGGCCAATCAGGTGCTTGAACATTTTTGTTACCAGCCTATGGTAGGTTGCTCCTACGTTTTTCAACCCAAAAGGCATCACTCTGTAACAGTACAGGCCTTTTGGGGTGATAAACTCTGTCTTCCCTTCGTTTGGGGGTACATGGCTATCTGGTGGTACCCCCTATAAGCATCCAGGAAGCTCATCCTTCCATGTCCAGATGTGGCATCCACCAACTGGTCAATCTTGGGCAGAGGGAAACTGTCTTTGGGACAGGCTTTGTTTAGGCTCGTAAAATCTACACAGACCCACCATTTACCGTTCTTCTTTTTTACCACTACTGTGTTGGATAGCCATGTCGGGTAATTGACTTCTCTGATGGCTCTGGCTTCCAGAAGTCTGTCTACTTCCTCTTCTACAGCTTCGACGTGCACCAACGTCGGTCTTCTAGCTCGTTGTATTACAGGTTTGGCCGACCTGTCAACGTTCAGTTTGTGACAGGTGACCTCGGGGTCAATACCAGGCATTTCATAAGGTGTCCAGACGAACACCTCTATGTTTGTTCTAAAAAAATCTTCCAGTTCTTTTTCCTCTTCTTCGGCTAAGCCTGAACCAAGAAGAAAGAAGCGCTCTTCATCGCCCTCCTGGACGAGGATTTTCTTTAGTGTCACTTCATTCTTCTCGGCTGGTTCTTTGCCGACGTCTTCTAGTACTTCCACGTCCTCATCTTCAATTTCTGCCTCTTTTGGCTCTCGAACGCTGCAAGTAGACTTCATTGCTGCCATGGAGCAATTTTTTGCCTGTAGTTGATCTCCTCTGACTTCTTCAATCCCATGCTCTGTTGGGAACCGCAGTAGTTGATGCAATGTTGAGGGAACTGCCCCCATTACATGCAACCATGGTCTTCCCAAGATGATGTTATATGGTGAAGGTGTGTCAATCACCATGAATTCTGTCCTGATCTTCTTAGTGCCAGCTTGTACTTCCAAGCTTGTTGCGCCCAGTGGCCACGTCGGCGTTCTATTGAAGCCGACCATCGGGCCATTCGATTGCTTCATGTCGTTTGGGTGAAGGCCTAGCTCCTTGTAACATCTAATGTATATGATGTCACAAGAGCTGCCTTGATCTATTAGGATGTGTTTCACTTGGCAGTCCCTAACCTGGAGGGATACTACCAAGGCATCATTATGCGGATGCTGGACCATCTCTAGGTCTGCTTCAGTGAAGGCTATCATCGGTCCTCGACACTCTTCAGGCTGAGGTCTTTTATGTCCGACCTGGTTCACGTGTTGCAGGTGTTTTACTCTTTGGGTTTCTCCCCAAATGTCGCTTTCGTTCACATTTGAGTGAATTACATTAACCACCCTAGGTCCCCCTCCCTGTGGTTGCTGTGCTGGGGGAGGTGGGGCCGCTGGTGCTTGAGGCAACCTTGCTTGCTCTTCTCTTGTCCTGGCTTCGTCGATGAGGTCCCTCAGATGGCCTTGCCTTACTAAGTCCTCTAAGTATGCTTTTAGGGCTCTGCAGCCCTGAGTTGGGTGCCCTTCTTCATTGTGGTAAGCACAACGCCTACCAACGTTCCTTCCCATGTATTCCCCTGGGGCCTTTGCTGGTGCTTTGAAATAAGGTTGATTTCGGATTTGTTCCAGGACTTAGGGGTGGGCATAGGGTTATCCGATCCACTCAACCCGCCCTACCCTACCCGACCGGCAGACCTTTAGGCGGTTTCGCAAACATATTAGGGTAGGGTGCGGTTTGGATTATGGCTGAATTTCGGGTTGCGGGCGGGTTGCGGGTTTGAACCGCACCCGCCCAACTCGCCCGCTTACATAGATTTTTTTTTTTTTTTTTTTTTTTAAATGTATGAATTCTGAACCGTTGATTTTCATCTTTATTCTACAAACAAAAGTAAAAAAAAAAACCCTAACAATTCATTCTCGTCTCATCTCACACATTTGCGCAACTGGAGCTTGGAGGAGAGAGTTGAGCTCCTTCTCTCATCTCATATTAGTCTCTCTCTCTCGTTTTTCATCGTCGATCGACCTCTGGTCTGTCTGCTCATCCTTAACTTTGCTTCCTCATCGCCAATCAATCTCTGCTTTCTCATCGCAACTCTGTGCATGCGTAGCTTCACTTCGAATCTCACTCTCTTCGTGTTTCGCAAGATTAACTCTGCTCAGGTAAGACTCGGTCTCTGTTTTTTTTTTTTTTTTCTTCTTTGAATTTGTTGATGTTGAATCTGTTTTTTTGATTCACAGGTAAGCTTTACTTCGACTCAGCTTCACTTCAAATCTGTTTTTTTTTTTTTTTGAATTTGTTGATGTTGAATCTGTTTTCTTGAATCTGTTTTTTTGATTCACAGGTAAGCTTCACTTGGACTCTGCTTCACTTCAAAGGCACACTATGATCACTGCTCTTCTCACTTCACATACTCAACTTAAATAGGTAAATCAGTGAGAAAACATTTGCATGTTAGAAGGTGCTAAAAACAGTGGAACAGGGTAATAATGTAGTTAGTAAGAAGAGATGTAAATGCTCATGTTTCATCTGAAAGAAAAAAAAAAAGAGAAAAAGAGAAACACTGCTCTTCTCACTTCACATACTCAACTTAAATAGGTAAATCAGTGAGAAAACATTTGCATGTTAGAAGGTGCTAAAAACAGTGGAACAGGGTAATAATGTAGTTAGTAAGAAGAGATGTAAATGCTCATGTTTCATCTGAAAGAAAAAAAAAAGAGAGAAAAAGAGAAAAAATTATTGTCAGGATGAAGTGGCAGAGGAAACTACTTTAGTTTAAATTTCAAAAAATCAATACTGTATTTAATGGTCTTGGACTCTGCAATTAGATTGATTATAAATTCCCAAATTAATTTACTTTGTTTTTTTTAGCTACAGATGCTGGCTTATGTGTTCTTGCAGTGAATTTAACTTTATTTTTTTAGCTACTGATCTGCTGGTTTATGTATATTTGTGATTCTGCATCACTTCATTGTTGATCATTCTGTAAGCTCTTTTACTTTACCTAGCGGTAATTAAATGTGTTTCATTATTTTGTTAGGAGGGTCTTAGTAATGGAATATATTGATGGAATCCCAATTCTAAAGCTTGGAGATGAAATAGCTAAAAGAGGCATAAATCCTGGTGGTAAGATCGCAGCTGCGGCAAAGAGGTAAGCCCATTGATTACCTTAGAGAGTATGAAGTCCTTTTCTGCCAATTTTTTTCTTATCATAATCCCCATTTTTATGCAAAAAGTTCATATCATCTACTTTAAATCCATAACTTACTAGCTTATATCTTAGTTTCTTCTTTTAAGCTGTAAGACATTTTGGGCAGTTTTAATATGTTATTGTAGAAGTGTGAGAGAGGTATTCAAACATTGGTTGTTGAAACTTCACATGACAGCCAATCTAACAACTGGTTGGCAGTCCAATGTAGTATAAAAATGATAACATAGTAATCAAAATGATGATATATTTAAAAAAAGTTTGAGAATCCCACCATGTTTAGTTTCTTGTGATTCCAGCATTTTGCTCTTAAAAAGTATTTTAATGTAATTAACAAAACAAACGCATGGAATTAGAATTGGAATTAAAAAAAAAAGGTTTAAAAATAAATTTTTGAAAAAAAAGTTCAATCCGCAAACCGCCCGCACATCCGCGAACCCTATCCGCACAAATCGCAAACCGCATTGCGGGCGGTTGCGGGTTGACTTTTTCCCAAACTGCATACATGTGGGCGGGTCCAAACCGAACCGCAAACCATCCCAAACCGAACCGCGGACACCCTTACCAGGACTTTGTGTACTGGGATTCGGAACACAGTCGTCACTGCCTGCTTACCCCTCAATTCTATCTCTGATTTGTTAAATTCGTTTTCACCTCGGCTTCGCTTCGGCTCGCCGTTCCCTTTTTCCTGTTTTACCTCCTTATTTCCCGATGTATCCTCCTCAGCTCTGGCATATTTCTCAATTCTTGCCATGCGCTCTTCCATGCTTTTTGGCAAAGTTTTTGCCAAAGACTTCCGTAGTGGACAATTGTCTTTCAGGCCGTTCTTAAATGACACGACCGCTACTTCTTGATTACATTCTGGTATTCGATTGAACACCTCATAGTACCTTTTTGCATAGGCCCTAAGGCCTTCGTCTTTGCTAATCTTCAGAGCCATTAATGCGTCCACCCTTAATGGCTGCAGTTTGTTCGTTACAAACTTGGCCACAAACATCTCGGCTAGGCCTTCCCAAGTCTTTACGCTTCCTTTCGGTAGTTTATGGAACCAATCTGATGCACTTTCCCCAAAGGACGAGGGGAACACTTTGCAGAGCAACGGCTCGTTCCCACTATATAACGCCATCGTATTCAGATATAGCCCGACGTGGAAGTTGGGATCTGACTTACCATCATATATTTGAAACCTCGGCATACTGAATCTCTTTGGTGCTTGAAATTTGTCTAGTTCCACTGAGAACGGTGTCTTCGGCTTAACCGGGGAAGTTACCTTGGCTTCAGCGTTCTGTTGTTTCCTCTTGATGTAATCTCTCAAGTCTTCTTTGCTCCTCCCTGGAGGTCGGCTATCTTTGGACTTCAATCTTTTTGGCACACTACTTTTAGCCTCGTGGTGGGCTTGCTTTGACCTCTCTCCGTGTGTTGTGTCAAAGCAAAGCGCTTGCCCTTGAACATGCTGATGTTCTTTGGGTTCTGGGTCCTTTGTCTGATACGTCCTTCGGGACTCTTCTCGTCTTGGCTCTTCTCGTCCGACTTCCCTGGAAGGTCGGTGAGAGTGCCTTCCACTTCTGGTGTGCTGAAGGACTTCAGGGATTGCTCTTCTTTCTCCCTTCTGGGTGTTAGTTGCTGGCATCGGCGTATCCTGCAACGGGTATGGTGGCTGCATGACATTGTTTTGCATCATGAAGTTGACTACTAACTGTAGGTCTACTAACTTGTTTGCCAAGTCTTTACTTCCCCATCCCTTCGTATGCACCTATCCCTCCATACCTGAAGGTTGTCTTCGTTATAGTACTTGCCTTGGTCTGTTCTTTTCGAAGTATCGCCCTCCTGGCCGATGTCTTCTTCACTGTGGCCTTGGCCATGAGTTTTTGCATTATGGTTGTCTCCTTCAACGTCAAGGTCAATTGGTCTGCCACTCCCAGCAGGAGTGTCGCCTCCAATGTTTTCCTTCTGTCCGTTACTGGCCATCTATTCTTCTAAGATTCCCACAGACGGCGCCAAATTGTGTGGGTGATTTTCTGACCACACTGCCCGCCTAGTAATCAGCTGGAGAGCACCGGCAGAATAGATGGCTTCAGCAAACCTGTAACAGAAAGAAAAGGCTCCGGCGGTGGCTCTTCCACCCGGGGGCACTCCGACGATCAAGTCAGTATATCTCTCAAAGATAATCAAGTGCTAAACTCACTACTCAAAGCATGAAATTGCGTACCTTAGACCCATGGGGATGCCTCTCTTTTATAGTTTACTCAATCCAAGTCCTACTAGAAGCTTGACTTCTATGGACTCCAATTCAGTGCTTACTTTGGATTCCTCAAGAGATAAAGATAAACTCCCTAAGAGTTTTATCCTTATCTTAGCAAAGTCTTCTCTTTACTCTAGGACTCCTGTCCCTTATCTTTTATCCATTTATCTTGAATTCCAATATCTTCGGAGATAACCTCGGCCTTGCCGAGATAACTTCGGCATCACAACCTGGACACGTGGCACTTCGGCTGACACGTCGGCGTCACCTTGCCACGTGTTGGTATTCAGAAAATACATCCCCACAGGATCCATCTTTAGAAGGGACCTTAGGTTCTGTGTATATATTTACATTATATATGCATATATGAATGAAATTTGGATTATTGAGTGGTGATGGAAGAGATAAAGATTCTTTTAGGATGAAAAAATATATATTCACATTCTGAGTTATTACATATAATTTGAGGTCAAATGACAAACTTTTTTTTTTTGGAGGAATAGTGATAAACCTTAGCGACTGTGAATGATTTTAAGAATTTATTATTTAGATTTTAAATTGATTTGTAGAATATTGAATGATTGGATAATATATGCATTTACTGTTGATGAGTGGTGAGAATGAGTGACTGGTTTTTCGGTGTGGAGATGTGTGTGCCGCTTGGATTTCTTGTATAAGTTAGAATGAAATTTGTTAGAGTTGGTAGCATAGATGAAAATAGTTGCGCGCGCGTGTGTATATATATATATATATATATATGTATATTTGCAGGTTTAATTTAAAAGAAAAAAGAGGAAGAAGACGGGAGAATAAAGGTAAATTTACACGTTCTGTTAATAGAAGTAGTGTGCATTATAGTTCACAAATCACATAAGGTCATGTGATGATTTCTGAATATCATGAGGTAATTCGCATCCGGTCCAAACCACAGAGGGGTAAAAATTTATGATTACTGGGTTGACGTAATTTTTTTTCTATGGATGATATACATGAAATTTGTCACAAAATGAACAGTTTGGATCATTAAAACAAAATTTATTGTCGGCTCCTTAGGCCCAAACAACTTGAGAGAAGCCAAGTCATTGAAAATAGTCTTTTTTTTTTAATTTTTAATTTTTTTTAAAAATAAATATAACCTGATTAAATAATTATTGATATTCGATCAATATAAATTTTGATATAAATAATTTGCTCCATCATAAGATAAAAAATTTGGTTCATTGAAACAGACTCAAAGTGGGCCACAATTAGACCTTTCAAACTGGAGAGGAACAATTACATCTTTGGTGTTGTCTCATTTATAAATAAAATAAAGATTTTATCCTTATTGGATTTTCCCCAATTTTTTTGCCCCTTTATCTTACGACGTGAAATATTGATTATCAATGTTAATCAAAATTTAATCAAGATTTTCCGATTGTTTGATAAAATAAAATAACAACTGTGGAAATTTTATTTAGTAAATATAAAATACCTTGTTGCATGTTTTATGGCAATAATAATACTAGTTATTAATGGTTGCCATGAATGACCTCAAATGCTAGTTTGGATCCTTTGTATCAGGGTGGTGAAGGTATTGATTAAAATAAATATAGCATGTCCCAATACAATTTATGTGAATTTTTTTTATTATTTATATTATTTTAAAAATAATTAAATAAAAATATTATTTAACATATAAGTCATATATTTAATATTTATTCTATAATTTAAATAAAGATAAACGAAATGTACTTGTTCAAGTTTAATTTCAACTCGTTTATTTACTTAATAAACTGAGCCGAGCCGAATTGAGACTCAAACAGGATATCAGATCAATAGCGCTCTCCTACCACCTTCTCCGGAAATTTAGTTCTCCGCAAACCCCCACAGCCATAGTGCTCCCTTGCTAGCTTTTGCTGAAATTCTCAATATTGTTCAGTTGGTGATCAAAATAATGTGAGAATTTGATAGTGAATAATTTATTTTTTAATTTTTGTTTTTTGAAAAAAAAAACTTTACCTCTGGTATGGGCTGCACTCTGCCATGTACATTATTCATGAGCTGTATATATATATATATATATTTTTTTTGTGTGGTGTGTTTATCTCACCATGGAGAAGTGTTACAATTTACTTTGATTTGAATCATTTGTAGGCGTACCATACTCTCCTTCCAAAACAAATGAAAGAAATTTTGGAAGTTCATCAATTTTTTAGCTGCCTTTTGAACCTAATATCATGTTGGAAGTTGTAATTGCAATTTTTTTTCCGCTGATTTTTAACAATTGCAGGATTATTTTTTTTTTTTTTGAACTTTTTTTGTCTGGATTAATCATTGGATTCCAAATTTGATGTTATGAGGATTGACTTTGATTAATTATGTACAACTATATTTTATTTTTTTTTCCATCTTAATTTTTTGTTGAACTATAATATTTCTATGAGACTGCTTTATATATAATTTTAGGAAAAATAACAGATAAATATGAGAAACTCATAAACTAATTACAAATCAGTGGAAATTGTGTCGGGCGTAAGTGAGAATTGTGGCTGGTGCAATTAATTGCAAAATTTTTATTGGTTTGCAATTAGTTCTTTCATTTCCTATTAATCAGTGGAAGCATTTTTTTTAATTCTTTTTTTTTTTTTTTGGGGATTGGTTTTCTTATGCAAAAATGGTAATGTTATACTAAAAAAATTGATTTAGGTCAAGTTTGACAATCTAAAAATAATCTATTTTTTTATCTTTTTTTCATCACTACACCTCTCTATTTTTTTACACATTTTTTATAAAAAGATAAAAAATATATTTAGATCATCCCAAACCATCCCTTAATCTATTAAATGGAATGAAACATTAGTTCGAATATGAAATATACAACAGCATTTGATCAAATACAGACAGCATCCATGAACTCCCTATCGGATTCAAGGTCCCTCATCGACTCCGGCAAAAGGCACACCTCTAAATCCATGCTTCCTCCGCCTTCATATCCCGGGTACGTCGTCACTTTCCCGTCAAACTTATTCGCATATCCACTTCGAATCGCCACCGCTCTCCCCATCCCAAATTCATTCCCAAACATTTCAAACCTCGGTGAACTTCCCACCATGACGCTGCAAGGGTCGAAGAATCGACCAAGCTGATATGTAAATGGTTTCTGCAACCACTCCTCCATCCACTCCCTCACCGCCTTGTCGGTGTGGTTCGCCACCGCTTCCCTCAGCCGCCACGCTGCCCACCCCAGCCCCTGCTCGAGCAGCTCCCCTGCTTTAGCAATGCCCCTCACTATTTGTAGAGAATTCCCAAAATACCCCTCTGGCAAAG